TGTGCAATGCACGCTGTTATTGATAGACAGAAGAATCATGGTATGCACTTCCGTGTACTAGCTAAAGCTTTACGTTTATCTGGTGGAGATCATATTCACGCAGGTACAGTAGTAGGTAAACTTGAAGGAGACAGAGAGTCAACTTTGGGCTTTGTTGATTTACTGCGCGATGATTATGTTGAAAAAGATAGAAGCCGCGGTATCTTTTTCACTCAAGATTGGGTCTCACTACCGGGTGTTCTGCCTGTGGCTTCGGGGGGTATTCACGTTTGGCATATGCCTGCTTTGACCGAGATCTTTGGAGACGATTCCGTACTACAATTCGGGGGCGGAACTTTAGGCCACCCTTGGGGAAATGCACCGGGTGCCGTAGCTAACCGAGTCGCTCTGGAAGCATGTGTACAAGCTCGTAATGAGGGACGTGATCTTGCTGTCGAGGGTAATGAAATTATCCGTGAGGCTTGCAAATGGAGTCCTGAACTAGCTGCTGCTTGTGAAGTATGGAAGGAGATCAGATTTAACTTCCCAACCATCGATAAATTAGATGGCCAAGCATAGATAAATTAGATTAGTAATTCACGTTCGTTTTATTAGTTTAATTGCAATTAAACTCGGCTCAATCCTTTTAGTAAAAAAAAAGGATTGAGCCGAGTTTATCTATTGTATATACTATTTTTGATAGATACATACTTATCTTATTTAGATATAGAAAATCTAAAAAAAAAAGAAGATTAAACACAACTACAATTTTGTATTGTAGTGTTGTGTCCATAAGAAATCCTATACGAAATATGGATTCTTAGGATTGTTGTATTCTTTATTTTACGTTTCGTGTCAGGGCTTGAACCAAGTATCCCCACTTCTTCGACCCATTCTGCATGTTGTCCGTTTCTTTTCATTCCGTATTGGAATAAAAACCTTTTTTTTTTATATTAGTATACGAGATTTTACTAAAAAAGTTCTTCATATCGTTCTATTCATAAGCGAAGAACAAATATTTCTTTTTTTTTTTTAGGAGAATTTTACACAATATAAGAAAATCCTTACTTTTCGTTTAGAATTGAAATTTATTAATTTCAATTACTTTACTTTTACTTAATAATCTTAGCAATTGCATCGATTGCGTACTCTGACTAGCAAATGAACTATTCAAAAAATTTTTGCATTTTTCAATTTTTTCATTGAATGACTATTCATCTATTGTTATTGTATTTTCATGTAAATAGAGGCCAAAAGCTCTATGGAAAAATCGTGGTTCAATTTGATGTTTTCTAAGGGAGAATTGGAATACGGAGGCGAGCTAAGTAAAGCAATGGATAGTTTTGCTCCTATTCAAAAGACTACTATATATAAAGACCGGTTTATATATGAGATGGATAAACACTTTTATGGTTGGGGTGAGCGTTCTAACAATAAGGTTGATCTTTTAGTTAGCGCCAAAGACATTCGGAATTTCATATCGGATGACACCTTTTTTGTTAGGGATAGTAATAAGAATTGTTATTCTATATATTTTGATAAAAAAAAAAAAAAATTTGAGATTAACACGGATTTGAGTGACCTAGAATTTTTTTTTTATAGTTATTGTAGTTCTAGTTATCTGAATAATAGATCTAAAAGTGACAAGGATCTGCACTATGATCCTTACATTAAGGATACTAAATATAATTGTAATAATCACATGAATAGTTGCATTGACTCTTATTTTCGTTCTCACATCTGTATTGATAGTCACTTTTTAAGTGAGAGTAATAATTCCAATGAAAGTTACATTTATAATTTCATTTGTAGTGAAAGTGGAAAGATTCGCGAAAGCAAAAATGACAAGATAAGAACTAATAGGAATCGTAGTAATTTAATGAGTTCTAAGGATTTCGATATAACTAAAAACTACAATCAATTGTGGATTCAATGCGACAATTGTTATGGATTAATGTATAAGAAAGTCGAAATGAATGTTTGTGAAGAATGTGGACATTATTTGAAAATGACTAGTTCAGAGAGAATCGAGCTTTCGATTGATCCGGGTACTTGGAATCCTATGGATGAAGACATGGTCTCTGCGGATCCCATTAAATTTCATTCGAGGGAGGAACCTTATAAAAATCGTATTGACTCCGCTCAAAAAACGACAGGATTGACTGACGCTGTTCAAACAGGTACAGGTCAACTAAATGGTATTCCGGTAGCCCTTGGGGTTATGGATTTTCAATTTATGGGGGGTAGTATGGGATCAGTAGTAGGCGAAAAAATAACTCGTTTGATCGAGTATGCTACCAATCAATGTTTACCTCTTATTTTAGTGTGTTCTTCCGGAGGAGCACGAATGCAAGAAGGAAGTTTAAGTTTGATGCAAATGGCTAAAATTTCTTCGGTTTTATGTGATTATCAATCAAGTAAAAAGTTATTCTATATATCAATTCTTACATCGCCTACTACCGGTGGGGTGACAGCTAGTTTTGGTATGTTGGGGGATATCATTATTGCCGAACCCTATGCCTATATTGCATTTGCGGGTAAAAGAGTAATTGAACAAACATTGAAAAAAGCCGTGCCTGAGGGTTCACAAGCAGCTGAATCTTTATTACGTAAGGGCTTATTGGATGCAATTGTACCACGTAATCCTTTAAAAGGTGTTGTGAGTGAGTTATTTCAGCTCCATGCTTTTTTTCCTTTGAACAAAAATTAAAGCAAATAGAACAGTTAGTTTATCAGAATTAAACGAAAACCCCGAAAAATGAATTTTCCTCTCTTGCTTGCATATGTATAGATAATTCAAATAGAGAGATATACAGATCGATAGAGAGTCTTTCATCTTTTTGCATTTCCCGAGAATTCCCTGTTGTGGGATCAGATTCTAATCAATTTTTTAGAAATTTGTAATGGAATAAAATTGTTTCTTTATTAATGAGAAGACAAAAATAACAAAAAGAATAATAAATCTAACAAGGGGACTATGATACATCTATGTTATTTTGAAAGATGAATAAGTCCATTTATTTTGTTTGGCGTTTCTTGTACCTATTTTTTTATTATATTTCTATTAGGTTCTATATCTATATTAGTATTAGATATATATTTACTTAAAGATACTTAGTATAATTATATAATATATATAATAGAAATAATAAAAATACAAAATATTCTAAGATATCTTTAGAATTCAGAATATAACAATAACAGGTACAAATATTAAATTGAGGTACCCATTTTATGACAACTTTCAATAACTTACCCTCTATTTTTGTGCCTTTAGTAGGCCTAGTCTTTCCGGCACTTGCAATGGCTTCTTTATTTCTTCATATTCAAAAAAATAAGATTTTTTAGATCGGATGAGACCTAATTGTATCACTCCTTTTTGATTTTAAAAGCTTCGATTTGATAAGACCCATTTAGTAGAATATTGTATAATACATAGATTCCTACAAACATAACTAAAAAAAGCCCTTATGCATGTGTAAACGTATTATATGGGTAAAAAATTTGCGCTCTTTTCAAAAATAGATTACCATCGGGCCTATGTATGAAATTCAAATCTAATATATTGATTTTTATCTATTTTTTATCTATATAGTTAAGATCATATAAAGGAAGGAGATGTTCTTATTTTAGATAGAAACAATTCTATGAATTACTCCTAAGGTAAAGGTTCACAACAAAATAGTTCATGAGAATTATTTTGAAAACAAAAAAGGAAAGTCATATTTTCTCAATTCCAAAAAATTGTATAACTGGATCTAATATATATGAGTTGGCGATCAGAATCTATATGGATAGAATTCATAACGGGGTCTCGAAAAACAAGTAATTTCTGCTGGGCCTTTATCTTATTTTTAGGTTCATTAGGATTCTTATTGGTTGGAACTTCCAGTTATCTTGGTAGAAATTTGATATCGTTATTTGCGTCTCAGCAAATCGTTTTTTTTCCACAAGGGATTGTAATGTCTTTCTATGGGATCGCAGGTCTCTTTATTAGTTGCTATTTGTGGTGCACTATTTTGTGGAATGTGGGTAGTGGTTATGATCTTTTCGACCGAAAAGAAGGAATAGTGCGTATTTTTCGTTGGGGATTTCCTGGAAAAAGTCGTCGCATCTTTTTACGATTCCTTATGAAAGATATTCAGTCCATCAGAATAGAAGTTAAAGAGGGTGTTTCTGCTCGGCGTGTCCTTTATATGGAAATTCGAGGTCAAGGGGCTATTCCTTTAATTCGTACTGATGAGAATTTTACTACACGAGAAATTGAGCAAAAAGCTGCTGAATTGGCTTACTTCTTGCGTGTACCAATTGAAGTATTTTGAAATTCATTTTTTTTTTAAAGACTAAATGTTTTGGCAGTAGGAAGAAAAGATGAGAGAATTTCTTTGTTTTTTTTTTTATTGAATATTCATCTATTCTTTTATGCTCATTTTTTTTGATATATTTGATAGAAAAGAAAGGGAGTTTCTTCGTTTCGAAAATAAAATAATCTTTTTTATTTGAAAAATTTGAAAAAGTTCTTTTAGTATTGCTCAAAAAAAGGGAGAATAACATCCTGGAAATCGCATTTTTTCTTGATTCAAATTGGAAGTGTATTCTGAGTCTATTTCTGTATTCTTTCTAGATTCAAAGCAAAGACTCATTATTGAATCAAAAGAAAAAGAGAAAATGGATTCATAGGCTCAATACATTCTAATTAGAATAGAAACTCATGCTCGATATAAATACTCGATCTAATAGAATCAACAAGTGCGGTAGGTTCATTAAAAATTCACAGATTCAAAATGCCAAAACAGAAAGCATTCATTCCTTTTTTTTTTTTTACATCTATAGTCTTTTTGCCCGGGTTGATCTCTCTCTGCTGTAAGAAAAGTTTGAAAACTTGGATTACTAATTGGTGGAATACTAGACAATGCGAAACTTTTTTGAATGATATTCAAGAAAAAAGTGTTCTAGAAAAATTCATACAATTAGAGGAACTATTCCAGCTGGATGAAATAATAAAGGAATACCCAGAAACCGATTTACACCAATTTCGTCTAGGAATCCACAAAGAAACCATCCAATTTATCAAGATACACAATGAGTATCGTATCCATACAATCTTGCACTTCTCGACAAATCTAATATCTTTCGTTATTCTAAGTGGTTATTCCTTTTGGGGTAAGGAAAAGCTTTTTCTTCTGAATTCTTGGGTTCAAGAATTCCTATATAATTTAAGTGATACAATTAAAGCTTTTTCGATTCTTTTATTAACCGATTTATGTATCGGATTTCATTCGCCTCATGGTTGGGAACTCATGATTGGTTATATTTACAAAGATTTTGGATTTGCTCATTATGAGCAAATTTTATCTGGTCTTGTTTCTACCTTTCCAGTCATTCTTGATACAATTTTTAAATATTGGATCTTTCGTTATTTAAATCGTGTATCTCCGTCACTTGTAGTGATTTATCATGCAATAAATGACTAAAAAATGATTCACTGATCAAATTCTAATTTATACATCATAACCAAATCAAAGTCGTATTTACTTTACTCTTTTTACCCCTGAGGGATTCCTTGTATATTTCAACAA